TATGTTATATTGTTTTCTTACCTCGAACCGTGACTCAATGTGATAAGTAGTTTATTATTTAAATGTATACGTAATTATTTATAGTACTATTAATTATTATTATTATTATTGTCTAAACCATTACCAAATGCTGTTCTTTTTTTGTTGAGAATGTTTGTAAATATATTAAAATTTATGTTGTAATTGAAAACCTATCTTTGCGTTATCAGTCTCTCCGTACCAACATTGCCCTCCTCGACACGCCCCGGCTCTTTATTCTTCCACCCATCGCGCTTTACAAAGGAGGCGCCAATAACAAAAGCGTGGATTCGTGCTTTTTGCACGGCGGCGGCGGCGCGAGGCGCGAGCGGCGGGGCGGGGCGGGGCGGCCACAGCTTTACGCCTCCGCACCTAATGAGGAAAGCCCTAAAACGGATCGGGGGTGGGGGAGGGAAGTCCTACATTGACAAAACGGGGAATGAAGAAGAAGGGAGGAGAGGAGGGGGAGGGGAAGGAAAGGGGGAACGCGGAGGCAGTCGGCTCGGCTTGAATCCCCTGCAGTGTGCCGCCTGCAGGAAATTGCAACGCGGTTTCGTTGTGGAAAGGGGCTGCTGTTGCTGCTGCTGCTCGGTGTACGCCAAGTAGGGGCACATCCCCGCCGGACGAAAAACAATCATTTAGGGGAGGCGCAAGGACCACAATTTCTTCTGGCAGGGTACCCTGTCGGAATGAGAGAGCATTGCAGCAGATGAGACTGAATGAAAAGTGACGAGAAGTAAAGCGAAGAGACCCCCGTACGACTACTCATCTAAGTCGAGGCTCATCCAATTGTCAGCTCGCAATCGCTCGTGTAATCCCATTGTAGCGGTATGGCCCTAGTTTTTGCGGCTCTGTGTGTGTGTGTGTGTGTGTGTGTGTGTGTGTGTGTGTGTGTGTGTGTGTGTGTGCTGCGGTAGACCCACAGACGCGGCGGGACCCCGCACCACCACATAGACAATACGGGTCGGGCCAAGAACATAGTCTTGTTGACTTAGCAGCGCTCTCGCGGTGATGCGTGCAGCAGCTCGGGCGGCGGCCCCGGGGGCTGGGGGCGGCGGCTGGTGGGAGGGGAGGGGGGGGGGGTCTTCCCTCGACATGGCGCGCGGGATGTGTGTCAACAGAGCCGTTGGTGGTAATTTACGAAGCGCTGGATGGATAGAATGTCGTCATACGGTGTGCTCAGTGTGTGACTGCGTGTGAGCGCATAGCGATGGTGGTGGTGGTGTGTGGTTCTCTCGCGCCGAGCGAACAGAACAGCAGCAGGGCGTATATCAGAGGGGGTTGGGATGCATAATTCACCAGCCTTATCGTTACACCCGATTATTGAACCTCGAGCCATCAGCATATACTGACGCTGTGTACAGTACAGTAGCGCGGCTTCGGATACCTCCAGCAAGCGGCTAGCTAACCCGACGAGCTGTGGAATATAAGGTGTGGAATTAATATGTAGGCCAGGGAAACTGCACAGGTAGGGATTATAATAAAGAGGTTCACAGAGGGTCCACAGAACACCCAGAGAAATAAAAAGTTGAACAACGAGCGTATGGTATAACTGTTGGGAAAACCATAAAATATGGTTGAGGTAATAACGTCCATTTGTTTCAACCATACCTTATGGTTATCCTGGAAGAACCATAGATGGTTCCTACAACTTTTCATTTTTCTGGGTGAAAACAGAGACAAACAGTGTCTCGGGAGTCGCACAGATAAATACAAAATGTGATGGTGGCTGTCCTGGCGACGAGGACTTATCCGACTGAGACTAGGACTACCAGCCCCCACCCCCTTTTCTCCATCTGTTCTGCTGTGTCTCCACACTGTCGCCGCTAGCCCGCGGGCGGACAAACGCAAGCGTACCAAAGTTTGCAAACACCCGGCACGAAACTCGGTGAAAGACACTGTATCCACCAAGTTGTGCGCTGTAGTGCTGGATGTGAGGAGGGGTGGATTGGGGGGCCGCGAGCTCATACGCTGCCTAATCACACTCTAACGGGGGGTTTAACTCGGCGCGCAGCATGAGCCGGCCCTGAGGGGGCGAGCGCGCGCGCCGGCAAATAGGAGGGACCCATATGTGTCACCTCAGACGAATATAAGGCGTAGCCAACAGCGA